TTATCCTTTAGTTAGAAAACACTGAGGTTTCTCGTATAGGTCTTCTGTTCACTAGCTCGATTTCTTAAGGCGCGGTCTTTGTGAGCCTTCTCCTCCCTCAGGCCTTTCTGCAGCTTCTAATTGACCCTTCATCTTTTCAGATCAGATCCTCCCGTTTTCGACACATACTTTACTTTCCTAAAAAGACATGCATTCAAACGTAACTTACCTACACATCAGTTTTTATCCTTTAGTTAGAAAACACTGAGGTTTCTCGTATAGGTCTTCTGTTCACTAGCTCGATTTCTTAAGGCGCGGTCTTCGTGAGCCTTCTCCTCCCTCAGGCCTTTCTGCAGCTTCTAATTGACCCTTCATCTTTTCAGATCAGATCCTCCCGTTTTCGACACATACTTTACTTTCCTAAAAAGACATGCATTCAAACGTAACTTACCTATACACATCAGTTAATCAACTTAGTTGTCTTACATGTAACAATAGAGAAAGAAGAAAAAAGCAATTTATTTAAAAAGTGGTATGTATTTCAAAATGCAGATGTTTGGACTACAGTAGAAGAAGGAACAAAGTAATTAAATGGTTTCACTGGTGTAAAATTAGTGAGTTTGAATTATGGAGAAATAAGAAAATCAAAAGTCTAGGAAAATGTAAGAGCAGAGGTAGGCGGACAGTCCAATACAACTAGTGTTGAATCTAATAATAAAAGACCAGACAGGAAAAGAGAGAAATAACCTTAACTGAAGTAGGGCCAAGATGGTATTGTGAGTTGAATTGTGTCACCCCAAAAGATATGTCAAAGCCCTAACCCGCGTACCTCAAATACGGTCCGATTTGGAAATGGACCCTGCATAGATGTAATCAAGTCAAGACAAGGTCATGTTGGTTTAGGGTGGGCCCTACGTCCAGTGACTGGTGTCCTCACGTGACGGTGATATGGTGACAGTGGCAGAGATTGGAGTGATGCATCTACAAGCCAAGGAACACCAAGCATTGCTGACAACCCCAGAAGCTGGGATAGAGGCAAGGACGGCCCTTCGTCCCTTAGGCCTTCACAGGGACCGTGGGCCTGCCAGAGGGGTGACACCAAGGTGTGCAGTGTGGTATTCAACACCCTTCAGTACTGGACCTCTTGTCCTTCCCACAATGAAAGCTAAGAGGTCGTTTTTGCCTTTTTAGACATCGGTGAAGACTGAGGAAGCAGCAGCCCAGGCCCTTGTCCCTGAGCAGTGGCCATATCTGCGTTTGGCTCAAAGGAACCTCTGCGGGGACTCGGCCTCGGAGAAGGTCACAAGCCTCAGTCAGATGAGTAAGGAGGCCTCATGGTCTGTGCTCACCTTTTCCCACCATTGACCCTCTCTTGACCCTGGTGAGCCCATATTCCCGCAGAGCCTCAGCCTCTCCTCCCCTTCTTCTGGCATCAGCCCTCAGCCTCCTCTCAGTCCCTGTCACTGTGCATCCGTCTCGGTCACACTGTCTTCTTCTGTTGCTAATCACTCAGTTATTGATTCGCGTCATCTTCTCTGATCACCTTCCATATTCCCAGACTCCTTCAGTAACTCCTCCTCTGCTTCCTTTTTTCTTTTGTATCAAGGGCCTCATATGCTTTGTCACTTTCAGACACCGCTTCGTATACGGAAGACCCATGAGTTCCTCTGTGTGGTCCCATCGTCTTTCCTCAGAGGGGATTCTCCTCACTCTGATCGTGCTGCTGTCCGTTTGTAATGTTCTTTCACTGTGCTTCGCCCTGTTCGATCTGCTTCCCAGCTAATTGACCTTTTTTATTGTCCATACTGTGCCACATTTTGTGTGGTTGCTGAAACTGCACTCCTGGGACACCTGTTGACTTTCTGTTTGTTTGTTTGTTTGAATCTGGAACATCCTGTCCCTACCCTGCAGATTATTTTTTCTAAATTCTGGTAACAGATGACATTTACATCATTAATGTATTGTTTTAGCTGAAGGGGTTGTAACTAAAGATGGATTGTTTAATACAAAGCAAGAAACATGTGAAGAGATGGACCGAGGTGCCAAGGCCTTGGGAGTCTGCAGCAGGTGAGTGTCCATGGTTCTGAGTGCAACCAATCCTGCAAATGCAAGAAGAAATTTGACTGGAACCAGAAAAAAGCAGTTGTGAAAAACCTGTTTCCCTGGAATAATACAGGAAGAGTGCCACTCTCCTGTCCTCAGAGGAGGCCCCCTGCTAGGAACGCGGAGGTCATCATGCGAAACCTCAGTTGGTACACAGTTGCCTCCCAGAATCCTGTCCTGACCCAGTCTGCTCTGTCTCGTGTCTTTGTGGAGCGCCAGCAGGGACACCAGGGAAGGCAGGGAATTTCGACGAGAGAGTGAGGGCTGCCAGTGAGGCTGCTGTGACAGTTCAGAAAGACATACTGTCAGCTGGAGAAGGGTTAGGGAGGACAAGGAAGGCGTTTTCAGCCTCCACTAGGAGAGGCCTGAACAAGGATCAAAGAGAAAGTAGCTAATGAAGGAGTGGGCCACTGTGTGGATGTTGAAGACAGCCAGGATGGTCCGTGCTCAAAGCAAATAAACAAGTGTATGTAATCAGAACACTTTTTATTGCTTCACCCCTCATGTCTTCTAAAGCCACGCTATTTACCAATAAGATAGCAAATGAAATGCAGATTTCTACAATTGGAAAAGAAGTTTGTGTAAAATAATACTTTCTGTCATAGTAACTTTAGCTTACTTCCTTGCAAACGCCATGAAAATCAGTCCAAAGGCAGTACGTGTGACTTTCTCTTTTGTTTCTCCCTCAGAAGATGGTAAAACTAGGAGAGGCTAAATCCTTCCACATTTAGAGATTTTGTTACAGGTGAGGGGCCCCAATAAGTAACAGCCCCCTTCCTTGTCCAAGTCCAGAACCAACTGATAGAGCTATGGGAGTGGGACGGAAGGTTCTGGCAACCTCAGCTTTCCTACTGACAGAAGCTGGACTGAGGAAGCAGCCCGGAGGCAGTGCTGAGTGGGCACATCATGGCAGAGGGGCGGGCGCCAGCCTCCCGCGGCCTGGACCCGCTTGGTACAACTTGGGGCAAAAAGGAGCATGTTGTGTCTGCCACTTGCTCCCAGAGGACAGCCCATTTCTTTCTCCCACAGTCAGTCAGGTCGTGAGGACTAAGTTGCTGTGAGAAGGGTCCGGGAAGGTTCGGCCTGGCAGAGTCCGCCTCACGGGAACATGAGGGGGCGAAGTAAGAAGACTTGGGCATCGGAGGGTTTGTCAGGTTCTGGGGAGTAGGACAGGACTTTTATAGCACGTGTTCTTTTCCCTTTCTCAGAGATTGTGAGGTCCCTTGTACTCCTGTCCCTACTGAAAGAACAGTTGCACATTCGAACACTCTGAAGGACCATCACCCGAGTGACTTGTGGGCCCGGATGCACATCTCATCCTTGGAATATGCAGCAGGAGACATCACCCGAAAAGGGAGAAAAAAAGACAAAGCTCGAGTGAGTGAACTGCTCCAAGGCCTTGCATTTTCTGGGGACTCAGACGTAGAAGAAGACAATGAGCCAGAGACCCAGCCTGCTCCCAAAAGGCCAAAGGCGTCAATTGTCTCAGAGAAGAAGTGGACCAGGAGAGACATTAAACCCAACTTCCCGAGCTGGTCAGTACTGGATTATGGACTTTTGAACCTCAAGAGTGAAAAGTTGAACCCAGTAGAGCTCTTTGAATTATTTTTTGATGATGAAACATTCAGCTTGATTGTCAGTGAAACCAATAATTATGCTTCTCAGAAAAATGTCAACTTGGAAGTCACGGTTCAGGAAATGAGGTGTGTGTTTGGTGTCCTGCTTTTGAGTGGAATCGTGAGGCGTCCCAGAAGGGGAATGTATTGGGAAATCCCTGATGCCGATCAGAACCAGGTTAGAGATGCAATTAGAAGAGACAGATTCGAATCGATTTTCTCATACCTGCATTTTGCTGATAATAGCCACCTAGATCCAAAAGATAAGTTTACAAAATTGAGGCCTCTCATAAAGCAAATGAATAAGAATTTCCTCCTGTATGCTCCCCTGGAAGAATACTATTGTTTTGATAAAACTATGTGTGAATGCTTTGATAGTGACCAGTTCCTGAATGGGAACCCTATTAGAATTGGCTATAAAATCTGGTGTGGTACGACCACACAGGGTTATCTGGTTTGGTTTGAGCCCTATCAAGAAGAATTAACTATGGTGGCAGATAAGGATCTTGAACTTGGTTTAGGTGGAAATCTAGTGATGAATTTTGCCGATGTTCTTCTGGAGAGAGGTCAGTATCCCTATTACCTGTGTTTTGGTAGCTTTTTTACAAGTGTCAAATTGGTGTCAGCCTTGAAGAAGAAAGGTGTGAGGGCAACAGGGACAATTCGTGAGAACAGGACTGAAAAATGTCCCCTTATGAATGCAGAACATATGAAAAAAATGAAGAAGGGGTATTTTGATTTCCGAGTGGAAGAAAATGATGAGATAATTTTGTGTCGTTGGCGTGGTGATGGCATTATCAGTCTGTGCTCCAATGCTGTTGGCATAGAGCCAGTCAGTGAGATAAGTTGTTCTGCTGATGACGAGGAGATCTTTCTGATAAGTCAGCCATCGATAGTGAAATTGTATGATGAATGCAGGGAAGGTGTAGCGAAAATGGATGAAATCATTTCCAAATACAGGGTGAGAATAAGAAGCAAGAAATGGTACTCAGTTTTGGTGAGCTACATGATTGATGGGGCCATGAACAATGCATGGCAGCTTCACAGAGCCTGTAACCCAGGTGCCTCCTTAGACCTCTTGGATTTTCGGAGATACGTCGCACGTTTCTACTTAGAGCGTAATGCTAATCTTTCAGATTAAGGCAGGTGAAATGGAAACAGTGCAGACATTTGCAGGACAGAAAAATCACAGCCGCATATCAGTATGTCCTCTCCCAAAGCAAATCCGATGTATGTAGTGAACTTAAGTAATATTTTATAAATCAGACATTTGTGTAGATTTTCAAAGACTATTATGACAAATTGAAAAATATCTTTAAAAATGTTGAACTCCAGTGGTACCTCTTCCTGTGTCTAATTTTGGTGTCACATGTGGGCAATCATTTGTTTGTCGAGTCGATTATTTTTTGCATTTAAGGAATGAAATACTGCCCCCTTTTGTAATTTTCTCTTGAGAATGCTCTTTTAAAAATGCAAGCAATGTCATAGTAACCGTAGCATGGCACTGAAACCGTAGTTGACAATTGAGACAGAGCTCATGAGGTAAGGGCGATCTAAACAAAATGCAGGAGATGCGAAGCTGAAGACCCCAGCAGTGGTGTGAGACTGGATCGGACCGTGGGCGGGGAGAAGGGCCTGACAGAGTGTTGAAGGGCAGAGCTGCGCAGGGAAAACCGGCGACGAGGCACGGCCTTCGCACACTGAGACGAAAGGTGTGTCCTGTCGTGACTGGGAGGCAGCAGCAGCCTGGGAGACTGCGGAGGCAGGAAGCAGAGCGGAGTGAGAGAGGAAGGGGGCAGTGGGGTTAACGCAAAGCCATGCTGCAGTCAACCCCTGTGGCAGATGAGCCAGTCCAGGGGTTAAGTCGTCACGATGGATGGCCCACGGAGAGATGCTTGAAGAAGTGAACGATGTGAGCTGTGACTCCTTGGTGTTGAGTCTAGCATTGGCGAGTCAGTCAAGAGGGTTCAGAGAAGATGGATCTCTACCTCATTTCTGTGTGTCACGGCCACAAGCCCCGGTGTCCCTTTCACACCCTAACATCAGTCCCATTCCTGGCTGGAAGGCAGGTGGGAAGCCTTCCAAGAGTTCCTTCAGAGCCACACCAAGAGAATCACTGTTGACTCTGGCCCGCCGTGTGCTGACGGGCCTTCGGTCCCCCGCTTCTGTGGTGCTTCTCAAATACTGCAGCCTTACGTCGTCGTTATTTGTGTTAAGGTCATGTTCTTTACTAAACAGTAAGCTTCTAGAGGATCTCTTCGTAACCAAAACAGGACTTGAAATTAATGTTTGCTATATCATTCAGGATACTGAGAGTACATTGCAGCGTGACAAGAAAATTAGCTCCCCCCAAAAAGAGTTTCATCTTCAACCCATTTCCTGTTTTCCCCGAGAATACTCGGCAGTGCTTGCGGCCACAGTGTTCACTCTGCGGTATCTCACAGATGACAGTCCAAACCTCACCCCGAAAGTCTGCCGTGAAATAGCGCACTTCTGTTATTTCCACATCGCTCCAGTATATGGATAGTCATGGGAAACAAATGGCATCGCTCTATTTATAGCATCCTGCTTCCAGCAGGGGTATTTCCATTTACAAAATATCACTGGAAATGTGAAATCCTAGAAAACGTAGCACTCCTACGCATGATGCTAAAGTAACGCTGGCAGCGAGCTACACATTTTTTTCCTAAATGGAGAAAAGGGTTAAAGTGAACTTTAGAGCCGTGGAGTATGATAGTAACATCATCGGGAAAAGGTACGGAACAGTTAGGGGTGACACAGAGACAGGTGGCAGCCTGGCCGCTCTGCTGGGTGCGTTCGTGGGAGAGGCACTGGCCCCAAGGAGCTCTTGCCGTGGAATCGCCATGGGTTTCTCAAGCAGGGCAAGCACGGTGCTGGCCAAGGTCTCCTGCGTCCCGACACCGAGGATCTAGTCAAGGACCGAGCTTCTCTCCGGGATGTACGTACCAAGCTCTCAGGCCGTGCTGGACATGCGACTGGAATTCACCTTGCAAGGTAAGGCCCCTGTTGGTGTCAGTGCAGGCTCAAGGCCCATTTCATTCACCATGAATGGCATTAGGCTCTGGTCTGAGGCAGCCCCTCAGTGACACTTGGCTGCAGCTAGTGGTGGAAATACAGGTTCTAACCAGGAACGCGGCTGCTTTTCACCGTGGCAGAGGCGCCCCTGGTACGAGGTTTAAGCTTCATTTCTCTTCAATCGATCTGTCCACACCCACCAAGGCTCTTGCTGAAGTCTTTCCATTACACTACCAAGTAATGTTTTTCTTGGCTCTTTTTTGAGGGTTTTGTTGTGCTCAAGACATGTTGAGCGCTGATCAGAGGTGTTGCCACACTCTTCACTGCCAGGGCCCCTCCCCTGTAGCCCCCTGTCCATGGGGCCCTTGGCTGCTGGCCGAGGTAGTGCTCAGAGACGCTCTCGCACCGCCTGCCGCCTCCTGTGCCGTGTGTAATGGCATTTACTCATTCACATCCTGTCGTGGGGCGTCTTAAGCTACTGTTCAGCCATCCTCAAAAGGCCAGGTCCACACTCCTTCGTGATGAAGGCTGCATGTAGTCAGCCCCTTCCTGTCTGTACTGGTTAAATACAGGCCACTCCAGTGAAAAGCGACTCATGATGAAAACGCGAGAAGAGAGAACAAGAATATGTTCCTTCTCTCCCGGAGGAATGGGTAAGTAAATGTTAGTTCTGCCTGTGTCTTCATTCAGTCATTCAGCTAATAAATACTTGGTAGGTTGAGCTGGTGTGAGAAGATGGACAGGGCAGGGCTTTGAGGAAAGGAGGAGTTTATAAAAACAGGCCCAGAGGTTTCCTGTTTCTGCAGCTGCCAGCGCTCTGTCCTGCACCTCAGCAGAGACCCTACGCCCCTCAAGCCTCTGGAATGGCACGCGGTTCGCTGTGACGTGGTCTTCATGGGCTGCAGCTGGATGACCGAGCGTGACTTTTCTTTCAAGATCATGTCTCTCTTACTGGGATGGGCTGGAATCTGAATCAGTGGGTTTCTTTAAAAAGTGTTATGGGGAGTAGGGCGAAATCCTTAGAGGAGAGAGTGTTTCACTTCAACATGCAAGGGCTGCAGGGGTCATATTAGAAAGTCGAAAAAGAAAAACTCCAGTAAGTGATAACTTCAGCTTAGCCCAGTGGAGATGAACCTTCTCAGAAGTGCTTCCCCGCCCCAACCTGCAGTGCCTTCGTTCCGGCTTCAGACCTCCAAGCCTTCTACCTGCTCACCTGCTCTATCTTGTTTTCCAAAGGGATTTGTTTTATTTGATCCTCACATTTCTTAAAAATGTATTTATTCTTCATTCACAGTTGACATTCGGCATTATATTGGTTTCAGTGTTCAGCACAATGGTTAGACATTTATGTCCCTCACAGTGTCCCCTTGGTTAGTCTGGCGTCCACCTGTGAGCACACAGTTATTACAACCTACTCACCTGCTCTTGATCCGTCATCTTCTGTCCTTTCCCAACAAGGTCACAGCGTCTGCCCTACTCTCTGGTGACATTCTCTTGTCCAGGCCCGGATCTCTCCTTGGTGTGGTACTCTTGCCATGGCATCTGGTGGGCGACCTCCTAGAGGTGGTTCCATCACTCCAGGCCCTCAGGAATCCTGGCAGCAGAGGTGCCTCAAGTGCTGTTTGCAGACATCCTGATGTGAGGGGCTATTTCCTGATAGTCTGGGCTCCTGGTTCCACGGGAAGCTGTCTTTCTCCACCTCGACTTATGTAGCCCTTTTCTGTCCCAGAAGGAATTGGCATGGCCACAGCTGGGACTTCCCTTAGTTTGCCAGATAGGCCAAGTTTCAGTAATTTAGTAGCAGATTCACGCTGTGATGTACTGGACTTAAGAAGACTCTCATTCAGCATCTTTCTTCAGAGGTAATCCTTTTGAAAAATGAAATGAATATGTAAATATAAAATAAATATATATGTGCACATGGCTGACCCTTGAACGACACAGGGGTTAGGGGCCCTGACATCGTAGCCATTGGAACATCATAGCGCAACACATTACATTTGTGGTGATGCTGGTGTGAACAAACCTACTGAGTTGCCAGCAGTCTAAAAGTACAGTGGGTACAATTATGTAGTGTATGCAGTAGCCATATTACACTGGCAGCGGCCTCACACATCTCGTGTTTACTGAGTCTCTTGATGGCATCATGTCCTCTTGTGCTTGTTTTAATCTTGTGTTGTTCTATAAACTTGGTGTGGCCTAAGTGCATGGTGTGTATAAAGTCTGCAGTTGAGCACAGCCACATCCAGGCCTTCACGCTCACTCACCCTTACTGACTCACAGGGCAACCTCCAGTCCTGCAGGCTCATTCCAAAGCAAAAGGAATATGATAGGAACAAAATAATCCACTTGGAAAATCTGACTTTCAGAGATGGCCCCTTTTAGGGGCCCGGGTATCTATGGAATGAGCCCAGTTTGGCAACAGTATGGATTCTAAAATGCCCAATGAGGTTGCAGTGATGACTGGAGGCTTTCCCACACTCATCACATGCATAGGGTCTCTCTCCAGTGCTGGTTCTCTGATGTTTTATGAGGCATGTTCGCCAACCAACGCTCTTACTGCACTGACTGCACTGATGAGGCTTCTCCCCCGTGTGGATTCTCTGGTGCTGAATGAGGACTGAACTCTGAGTAGAGCTTTTCCCACATTCATGGCACCTGTGCTGTCTCTCTCCAGTAGCATGTCCCCTCTGCTCTACCCTGCTCTCATGTTGACAAGTTCGTCCGTACGTAAAATATAGAGGAACATCTCTTTGGAGTCTGCTATTCCCTAAATGTTCTATTTCTTTTAAGACTTCTTGCTTCAATGCCAACTCCTGGTTTTCAGGTGTAGTTTCACTATCTGGAATAATAAATGGGCCAAACAATGTCCTCTCTTTCCTTTATGAAAGAGTACAACCATAACATGGAGAATAGGAAGATCCATGTCAAACACACATTCTAGGAATGCAAAACGGATTAAATAGGGATATTGAGGCCAGGTGGGTAAGGGGTCATCCGCACTGATGAAACGGCTGGCAGGGTAACCCAGAGGGGATGTACGCAAGCAGGCACTGTTCCAAGTGTTTTGTACATATTAAATCATCAAACGACTGTGACTGAGGTGCTCTGATTATCCCCATCTTTATAGCTGTATAAACTGAAGGCACAGAGAGGTTATTTGACCTGCCCAAGGTCATGGAGCTACTATGTAGCGGTGCTTAAATTCCAACCCAGGTAATTTGGCCCCAGAGTCCCTAGTCTTACTACCTTATACAAAGGCAACATCCCTGAAGGAAGGGACTTATAAAAACCCTTACCGTATTCTCCAAATTTGTGGGGACCAAGAGATTCATTTTTGAGCTGCGTCACCATGGACTGAAGCTGTATGGCTGCCGATTCCTGTGTGGCCTTCAAATGCTCCACATCCTCTAGGAGCACTTCAGAATGTCCGTGTTTGTAACCTGGGGCCTGAGAGCCCGTAGGTATATTTGTGTGCATCAGGGAAGGACTATAGGACCCCAAGCTAATAATGAAAGAGGTCACATGTTACTGTACGAAATATTTTACAGGGAAATGGCACAGTTAATTCCACACACAGTGGCGAGGTGGAGAACAGAAGCAGCCTAACATGGTATGGTGGTTGAAAGTATGTTCAAAGGTTCTTTGATAGTTGTCCCTTTAAAAGGCGTGGCCTAATTCCCTTCCCCTTGAATATGAGTTGTATTTAAGAGCTCATTTCTTTTGAATACCATGTGCAGCAG